CTCCTCCTCCTCCTCTCCATGATGGAGAACCTCAAGCTGGTGAGCTCCTCTGTCCACGAAATCTCCGTTGAAGACGTAGGCTGCTTGAAGAGCGTCAGCCGTTGCGAGGGAGGAGGAGGGGGAGGAGCCTGTGGTCTCGATGTCTCCGCCATATTGTGTGGGAAAGCAGAACCTGCGGGAAACGTCAGAGAAGCTCCTGCTCGACAACGGGGGTACCTCGAGAAGAGGAGGAGAAGGTCACGCAGCTGACCGTGAAGATCGCCGAAGATCTGAGAGGTGAGGAGATAGTGAGGAGACACAAGGAGGTCGCAGGGAGAAGGCGAGGGAGAGGAGAGACATGAGAAGAGGAAGACTGAGTTCTTGCCTTGCACGGGGAATTGACTCGAACGAGACTCGGCTGAGCGACGAACCTGACACGAGCAGCTCTGGGAGGCGTGAGCAAGGAGAAAACAAGAGCGGATGGTATGTGCAAACAGCTCAGGCAAAGTAGTTGAGGATGAGAGCGAAGGCAAGGACAACGACAAGAACCAGGAGGAGGAGGAGGAGGAGGAGGAGGAGGAGAAAGGGGTCAAAAGAGGTGACCGGGAGAGCATGACGACTCGCTGGCTTAGTTCGCTCATGTTTTCGCTGCATCGTATGAGACTTGACAGGGATCAATAGACCTCACGTTCCAAGAAGAATTTGAAGCGAGCTCTTGACCATCCACTCCTTTTTCGGGTAGAAGATGTCAAGATGAAATGAGGGGAGTAACGGGAAGAGAGGAGGAGATGAATAAGGAGGGAATTCAAGCCTCACTTGATCCAACATGTCGCTTTCCTCTCCCACAAGTTTCACGAGGTCCATTGCCTGCCTAACCTGCTTCTCCTCAGTGCTCTCAACCCTCCTGCTGTCTCCTCACCACTAGCGCTGCCAGCTGATATTCTTCCGTCCCCTCCCGCGCCTGCTCACTCTCACCAAAACTCTGCAGCCAACCCTCCTCACCGCCAGAGGACCCCGCCAACAGAGCAACTGCTCTTGCGCTCCCTTGCTGCTCGTCCATCGTCACTCGAGCACCATGCTGGCTACTGAAGCACCTCGGGTCCGGGAGCATGGCGGCATCAAGGACGAAGTCGTGATTGACAGCAGCGGCAGATATCCGATTCGAAATGCGATCGAACTCTCCGTCAGCCCGTGCAGAGACCTGAAGCAAAGCAGAGCTTCATGGAAGGAGCGCTAGGCAAAGAGGACGAGGAGAGAGAGAGAAGAGGAACAAGAAGGGAGCGATGAGAGATTGAAGCTCAAGGACAGAGACTGAGGACGGCAACCTCAGTGTCCTGTAGGACCACACGGTAGTCGATGCCGGCTACATCTGATCGCGGGTACTTGCGAGGGGTGAGTGGAAGAGAGGAAAGAAGGAGGAGACCTTGACATGAATGAGGTCATGGGGAGAGAGCAGAGCCTGTGAGATGAAGTGAGCCAACGACGAGACCTGGGAGGAGCACAGAGACGAGCAGCACCAGACCTTGTTGAGTAGCGAGCTATCAGCGAGACCCTGACGAAACTGATCCCGACTAGTTGAACTCAAACCTCCGACAAGATGCAAGAGAAAGTCTCACGAGAGGACGCACGTGCGGTCGAGTCCCAGGATCTTCTTGATCTCCTCGCTGGGGTCAGAACAGCTCGCTCCGCCACCTCCTCACCTCTAGCACGTGCTTCCTCCCTCTGCAGAGGTCCTGGATGAACCTAGACTCCCCTCACCCCAGCACGAGCAACTTGCGACATCCCAAACCTCTCGATGCCCGCCTCAGACACCACGTCGCTCTGCCATGTGGAGTGAGAGGCGCAAGGAGACGTCTGGCCACCTTGTTTGCTCTATAGAAGTTAAACAAGAAGTCTGTCCTCAGCTCCTCCGTTCTTGGCACGCTCATCCCGTCCTTCACTCACAGCTTGTCCTTCACTCATCGTGACATGCTGGTGACAGTCACCTGGTCGAGGACGGCCAATCGGATGATCGCATAGTCTTCTTTCTCTAGATTTCTTGCGCCTCCCAGCAGGCTGTTCTTGAGATCGAAGCAAGCTCGAGCCGCCTGAATCAGTCAGCAGCGCATCTACTCACCCGACGCTTCCGCACCTTCCTGCTGACCCCCCACTCTTGCTCTACCTGAAGCTCAGGTCACGTGACTGACGGCTGGAGCTCAAGTAAGCTACCGCTACTGCAAAGGTCTCTTCGTCGAGCTGGGCTGACCCTCCTCCAAACCTGCCAATGCATGAGAGGGGCAATGCAGAGCAAGAGTTCAACCGTGCGAACTCCTCGAATGCAACATCGCGCTGGCAGCAGACGCGTGAGGAGAACAAGAGCAGGTTGAGGAAGGGCAGCAACGGTTTCACCTTTGTTCGCAAAGCATCATTCAGTCCTGCAAACAAGCATTGAGCTCAAACCATTGCCGGCCACAGCCATACCCAGAGCTTGGAGGAGGCGATCTCTTGGAGGGACATCCATACGCTGTTAGGACAAGCTACCTTCTCATAGCGTACGCGCTTGCCCTCGGAGTCAGCTGGAAGCACATTCACAAGCGAGCTCGAGATGTATCCACTGCTCCTCCGAATCTTCATAGTCTTCTCGATAGGCCACCATTCCTGTCTCCTCTAGTACCATTCTTTGCTTCAGCAGCAGCAGCAGCAGCAGCAGCAGCATCATAATCACCATCACCATCACCATCACCATCACCATCACCATCACCATCACCATCACCATCACCATCACCATCACCATCACCATCACCATCACCATCACCATCACCATCACCATCACCATCACCATCACCATCACCATCACCATCACCATCACCATCACCATCACCATCACCATCACCATCACCATCACCATCACCATCACCATCACCATCACCATCACCATCACCATCAGCAGCAGCAACATCAGCAACATCAGCATCACCAGCACCATCTTCTCCACCTCCTCCTCCTCCTCTTCCTCCTCCTTCACACAGCATTCTCGGAATTGCCACCATTCCAATTCCCGTTGTGTTTGTAGTGCATATTTGGAGGGTGGGGGTACATCAATAAGGGGTGCTGGTGCACAAGGGGTGTGAATTTGTTGGAATGTGGTGGGGTAGTCACTTGATAAATAAGGGGAGTACTCAAAATAGAACCGGTTCGGGAACAATAATAGTGGGTAGGGGTATAGGTGTCGGAGGGTCGGAATGCTGGTGACATGCTTGATGACAGCGATCATGGCGGGAGGAGGAGGCGGAGGAGGCATAGGCTGCATGGGCGGCATGGGAGGTATAGGGGGCATGAGGGGTATAGGGGGCATGGGAGGCATTGGGCCAAATGTACGAGGAATGGGGTGGGGAAAGATGCTCAAGTATCCGATCACCAGCAACAGGCTTCGAGGTGGAGGCGGACAGGTGGGGAGCCGAGAATCTCTCATGCGTTTGTCGCTGATGCCTCTCTAGTCCCTCAAGCCACTGGCATCGTCCCGTCAAGAGCAGCCGCAGGTCCGTCAAGCCCCACGTTCGCTGCTCGCCTGAGTTGCTCGGCAGTCTAGCGAGGGAGAGCTCACGAAGTCGCTGGGATCTTTGACGCTGGAGGAGCAGGTGAGAGGATGGCAGAGAGGAACGAGCAGGCAATGACGAGGAGGAGCTGTAGAACGAGGCCTCTTACTTCGACTCCTACTCTCACTTCGGCATTCATGAAGAGATGCTCAAGGACAGCGTACGGTGAGAGGGTCAGCGATACTGCCTGACCTTCTCTGCAGGTGCGAACTAAAGCTTACCAGGATGCCATCCGAGGAAACGCTCATCTTATCCGAGGCAAGGTTGTGCTTGACGTCGGTTGCGGCACAGGTCTGTGTATGCTATACTGTAAACCATCCTAACAAGTGAGAAGGAATTCTTTCTATGTTCGCTGCTCAAGCAGGAGCGAAACACGTGTATGCTGTAGATAGCAGGTAGTTGCCGAGCCATTTGGCTGAGTGTCGACTGAGTCGTCTGCAGCAAGATGGCAGAAAATGCAAAGCAGATCATCGAGGCCAACGGGTTTCAGGACGTGATCACTGTGATTCAAGGGAAAGTGGAAGAGATCGACCTGCCGGTGGAAAAGGTGATACCTCGTATCAGACTTGTAGAAGCGCCTCCGAATCTCAGACGAGTGCCACTACTCAGCTCGTGTCCTGTATCATGTCTGACTTGAGGTGGATCTTTCAGGTCGACGTGATCGTATCAGAGTGGATGGGCTACTGCTTGTTGTTTGAAGCCATGTTTGACTCCATCATCTATGCCAGAGATCGGTCAACCTCTACTCTCTTTTGTCTATACGCTGATTTACAATCAGCTGGTTGAGAGATGGAGGGATGCTCCTTCCTGACAAGGCCGAGTTGTACATCGCTGCGATTGAAGACGCCAAATACAAGGTGCCATGTCCGGAGAAGGCGATGGAGTGAAGGATGCGAGGCAGGAGGATAAGATTCACTTCTGGGAGAATGTCTACGGTTTCAACATGAGCCTCATGAAACGTGAGCTCCTCCTGACTTGTCTCGCTGCCTCATGCTGCCTTCAGGCGTGGCTATGTTCGAGCCTCTTGTGGATACTGTTCATCCCGATCACGTAGGCCGGTGAGGAAGTTGAAGGTATTGTGACGTGCAACTTGCGTAGATCTGCACTTCCATTCGCCCGCTGTGGAACGTGGACTTGCTGACAGTGCGTGAGAAGCGCTGTGAGAGATGTCAGTGACACGCGTGCAGGCGCAGAAGTCGGACATGCAGGTAGACGCGCCATTCGAGCTTCAGGCGATCAGAAACGACTACGTGCATGCACTCCTCATCTTCTTCGAAGTCGGCTTCACTCAGGTGAACTTGTCGCCTCCTCGAGGAGACGTCTCAGCGGCCGAGCAGGGACACAAGCCCCTCTGGCTCTCCACAGGCCCTCATCACAAGTCGACTCACTGGCATCAAACGGTCAGGAGCGGAAGGCCCGGTGTTGCCTCACACATTGTGCAGGTGCTCTACCTCAATGATGTCCTCACCATTGCCAAGGATGAGCTCATCCAAGGGCACATCAAGATTTTTCCCAGCTCGAGTACCTCGAAGACTCTCGAGCTCGGCCCGACCTGACGCATTGCTGCAGCAAGCAAGCGGCATCTGGACTTTTCTCTCAACTATCAGTTCGATGGGGAGGTGACTCTTATCTCCTCTCAACTAGCTCCTGAATTCATTGACAGGCTGTCAATGGATTCGCCAACCAAACGCTCAACGCGTCGCAGTCATATCGGATGATGTGAAGATGTGAGGGAGCGTATGACATGCAAGCAGTTTGAGCCCGCAACGATTTAAAGATCTTGAGATCATCTATGTTGAAGTCCAGTGCGAAGAGCAAGAGGAGTGATTCAGGAAGTATCGCCAGCCTGTTGAGCAAGTTATCCCTACCGCAGCATCTCACCTTCACCTTGCTCCGTCATTCGTTCTTCCCATGTGCTCTCATTCTTGGGACATGCCCGTCAGTCATGACACGAGGAGAGGCAAGGCCTCACTAGTCGCGCTTGCGTTAACTCAAGTCGGCATTCCACCGAGCACACTGATTGACCTGCATTCGTTATGGTCGCTCCTCATACTGCTCCTCCTCTCACCAGTCGCCTTCAGCTGGTATCGCCCGTACTGCCAAGGAGGATCAGAAGCAGATCGCAGAGGAGCTCAAGAGCGCACGCGTCGGCATCCTTCTACTGCACAGACCGGCTCTCCCTCCTTGGGCTGTCGCTGATCCGCACGGAATCGGATGATCTTCTCTGTCCGACCCTGTGAAGGCTGAGGAGACCAAGCAGGGGCAGAGGGAATCATAGTGCTGACCTCTCCTGTGAACTTCCCCCCCCTCACGTGCTCAACACGCTCTCCTGAAGCTACTTCAGCTGGTGGCGACGTCCGACTAGCGGCTGGTGCTGGGTTGCTGATTGGTTGCTGCAAAGAGATCAGCTAGTCTACGAGGCTACTCTTGTCTCGACCTCCGAATGTCGAACAGGAACAACAGGGGGCAGGCTCGCAAGGTCGACTCCTCCTCGCTTTCCCTCTTTCACCTCACCATTGCTGTCAGCAGCAGCAGACCTCTCGAGGTGTAGCGCGACACCTCTGTGATTAGATTCGTCCTCTCCGCCACCTGAGCCTCAAACCTCCTCACGTCCGCGAGAGTCAAGCCGAACCACTCGTCGATCCAGCAGAACATGTTGCGATTGCCGTTGAAGAACAGATCCCGCTCGTACTGGTGCATAAAAGACTCCACCTGCCCTCCGATCATGTCCCACATCATTTCCATCCTTCTCTCCGTTATCCCCATCGTCATAAACAGCATCATAATCGTCTTATCAATCATCATCATCATCATCATGATCTCCATCATCTTCATCGACATCATCATCACCATCGTCACCATCAGTAGCAGCTTCATCATCATTCACTCCGTCCTTCCATACCTTCGACTGTAAACCCCAATAATCGAACTCGCACGACACAAGTTTGTAGGCGCACATCACAGGGTCCACTCGTTCTTGCCATCCTCTTTCTAGCGGACCTCGTCCAGTTCTCTGCGACCTAAACCTGAGCTCCATCAGATTCTACAGCTTCCCATGCCATCACCACCTTGCAGGGTCGTTATCAGCCCCATCGTACATCTTCGAGTCCTCTTTCCGCTTCTCAGCGATATCAATGTTGACTACTTCAAGCTTCTTCATTTGCTCCGAGCTGAGCTTGTGCACATTCGCTTCCTTGCCTCTGTCGCCTCGATGAATCGTCTCGATGGTGATCTTGAACTTGCTGAACAGAGGAAAGGTGACTTGTGTCAGCGTCTGTCAGCTAGTTAGCAACTTCGAATGCCCTGCGCATGCGAGCATACATGCGGGTAACTGTTGTAACTCTCCTCTACCAAGCAGCTGCCGCTTTTAGGCGCGATCATCCTTGAGTGATGTCAGGAAGGAAGCTGATCGCATAGCAGCAATCACCTCAGCCATCCGGGAAACCTCCGGTCGATGTGGAAGAGCTTCCGCGTGTACTGACTCGCACCCAACCTGCCTCGGCATTCGTAAGAGCCAACGAAAACAGAACAAAGCATTGAAAAGAATGCAAGGCGATGGCAAGAGACGAGGGAAGAGACGAGGGAAGTATCAGGCACCTTGGATGCGTGGCCGGGTGGTTTTCTAAAATTTCAACGCCTGCATGAAGCTGAGTATGAGATTGTTCTTGCTCTCTCCACCTGCTCCATCAGCCTGCTGTGCCTCCATGAGCTGAGTCCTCGCTGTCATGTACAGCTGAGCGATGCGGTACTCCTCCACTGTCACCGGCATCACTACCCGATACTCCTTCACCACCACCATTTCCCCTTTCTGATCCTATCCCCCCCTCATCCCCACCACAACCCTAGCCTGTTCAAGTTCAAGTTCAAAATTTGTCCGGACTCCGTCCGAGACTGCCGCCCCGCCCCGCCCCAGCCTCAGGCCGATGCGAGTCTCGAGCTACTACCCCCTCAAGGCCTTCCCGCATCGCTATGCTCAGATGCTCGACTGCTATCTACATGGCATGCCGATCTGCCAGTGTCCGACCCAGACGCCGCATACGGGCCGGGCTCGGACTGTCCCTCACCTCTGCGAGCGAGCGCCAAAGACAGTTGGCGATTCATCAGTTCACTGCGGGTGACCTTCATCGGGCGGTACGGACATCAAAGTTTACTCGCAGAAGGTAAAAAGTGCCTCAAGCAAAACAACTATAGCTGAATCTTTCGCTCAGATCTTTAGCCTGATCCAGGCAATCAAGCGCTACAGCTCCTTTGCGGGGACAGATGACCAAGGGTGGAGGATTCGGCAACACCTGTCACCCCTTTCTAGTCATCCTGCAGCTTTGAAGCTCTACTGCAACTTCAAACATATCCTCCAAGGGGTCCTTCTTGGCCGGATGCCGGATCTTCTTATTCCTGCCCTGTCAGCCATTCGTCGAGGAGGCAGATTTATTCCCCTCTCCAAGGGAGCTGATAAACCTGGTCTCTGATAGCTGGCGAGGCGTCTCCGCCCCTCGGGTGCCTCCGGAGAGCTCGACACCACTGGGGTGCTTGCTGCTGGTCCGAGCTCGCCTGCTTCCTCCCCGGCATCGGTCGGGTCACGTTCAAGGCTAGCGATCCGTAGTCAGCGAGGAGGGCCAATGGAGGACTACCTCGAGCGGTACCGTGTTCCTGTGTCCAGCCTCCCCCCCCGGGCAACGCCGGCTCCTTGTCGGCGGCTGCCCTTTCTCCGTCCGCGGCCGCCAGCTTTGTGGCGGCAGGCTGAGCGGACGTCTCGACTGACACGGTGGTCAGTCGGCTGCCTCCGGGTATCGCGTCTAAGGGATTTTCTTCCTCCTGCATGCTCCTGCTGCTTGTTGCTTGATTGCTTGACCCTTAGGCTGCTTTTTTTTTTTTTTTTTTGCTTGTCTGCTTGTCTGCGCGGCTTCGCGCTTGGGCTGGCGATGCCGGGTCTGGGTGCCAGCAGTGCTGGTTGTTTTCGGGCTTGTGTTTTGTGTGTGATTGTGCAGCTTCTCGCTGTTCGCTGTGTGCCCGGAGGTTTAGCTTGTTCCTGCTTTGTTATGCTTGAGGCACTTTTTACCTTCTGCCAGTAAATCCTATTGCTCCCCTGCATCCTGACACCCTCCGCTTCATCTGGTATCTGGCGGACATCCGATCATTGCTCAGCGCTCGATGCCTCTTGAGGATGCGGCGTTTGGTCGGCACTTCGTGCCTGATGACGGCCCTGCTGCTGAGGTCTTGGCTGCGAGGCGTCTCCGTCCCTCACTGTGACGTCGGGTGCCTCCGGAGAGCTCGACACCACTGGATTTACTGGCAGAAGGTAAAAAGTGCCTCAAGCAAAACAAAGCAGGAACAAGCTAAACCTCCAGGCACACAGCACACAGCGAGAAGCTGCACAATCACACACAAAACACGGAGCAGCTGCAACCGCCCCAGCAGCCCTCGCGAGGGCGGCGGCAACGGCAGAAACAGCAACGGCGGCGGCAGCCACATCCGCAGCCGCAGCCGCAGCCGCAGCCGCAGCCGCAGCCGCATCCGCAGCCGCAGCCGCAGCCGCAGCCGCAGCCGCAGCCGCAGCCGCAGCCGCAACACCACCGCCACCAGCAGCACCCGCAGCAGCAGCAGCCGCAGCCGCAGCACCCGCGTCAGCAGCAGCAGCAACAGCAGCAGCAGCAGCAGCAGCAACGCCAGCGTCAGCAGCAGCGTCCGCGTCAGCAGCAGCAGCAGCAGCAACACCAGCAACCACCACAGCAGCGACCACAACCGCGCGGGCCGAGGGAGCAGCGGCAGTCCGGCCAATCGTCTCAGGAGTCTGAGCCTGCTCCTCCGCCGCGACCTACGCTGTCCCTCACCTCTGCGAGCGAGCGCCAAAGACAGTTGGCGATTCATCAGTTCACTGCGGGTGACCTTCATCGGGCGGTACGGACACTACTGAGCTCCGGCATCTACAGGGCTGAATCTTTCGCTGATCTTCTTGCTGAAGCACAAGAGAAGTTCCCTGATGGTGCGTCGCCTGCCTTTGGAAGTGCTTCCGCGGATCATCTCACCCAGCAAGCGCTTGCAGTACTGCAGGTGGATTTGACTGACATCCTCGACACCACTAGCCTGATCCAGGCGATCAAGCGCTACAGCTCCTTTGCGGGGACAGATGACCAAGGGTGGAGGATTCGGCAACACCTGTCACCCCTTTCTAGTCATCCTGCAGCTTTGAAGCTCTACTGCAAACATATCCTCCAAGGGGTCCTTCTTGGCCGGATGCCGGATCTTCTTATTCCTGCCCTGTCAGCCATTCGTCGAGGAGGCAGATTTATTCCCCTCTCCAAGGGAGCTGATAAACCTGGTCTCCGGCCAATTGTCATCGGTTCTGCACACCGTCGACTCGCGACGAAGCTTGCTTTGGCAGCGATGCGAGTCGCTCATTTCTTGACCAGCACTTCCTCTCGTCTCACCCCAGGCTCGAGCGATTCAGTTCGGACTCGATCGAGACGGCTGTCTGAAGTTCTCGCAAAACCGCGTCAGCGCTCCCAGTGCCCCTTCACGCTCGCGGTGATGATGAGGATGTTGCCAACCCCACAGTGCTGGTGAGTTTGGATGCAAAGAACGCCTTCAACTCCCTCGACCGCCAGGCTCTCTTCGATGCAATCGAGGGACGTGCGAGTCGCGACCACTTTGATGGGAGCATCACTGAAGGCGCTCGCTTGCCCTCTTGCGAGCATCTCCGTTTGTTCGCCTCCTACCTCTCCAGCTACTATGGAGACTCTGCTGACCTTCGACTCTTTCACAAAAGTCAGTCAGCCTCCGTTCAGTGTACCTCGGGCGTCTGTCAGGGCGATGTCCCCTCCAGCGTATTTTTCACAGTATCCACCCCCTGCTCCTCCATATCGCAGAGCTTTTTCCCTCTGTTCGAGTCTTGGCCTATGCTGACAACGTCGTGCTTGTCGGTCCACTCGAGGATGCCGTGCAGCTACTCCATCGAAGAAGTACATGTTAGCTGATCTGAAGCTAGAGATTCAACCTCGCGAGTCGAAAGTTTACATCCCCTCCTGGCATCAACACCCTGATCTCTCGCAGCTGAAGAAGAGCCTTAAGCGCCGTCTCAAGACTCAACTCCTTCACTTCGAGGTCGTCACTGGCGGGATTACACTTGGCGGCCTGCCTATCGGCACGGATGGATTTCATGCTAGTGAGCTCCGAGCGAAGGTTTCTAACCTCAACGAAGAGCTCTCGAAGCTCGGGCTCGTCCAGCATGGCTTCATGTTCAAGACGCGGCTCCATCTCCAGAAGCTTGACCTCTCTGTCCACCTGGCGCTTGAGAAATACCACCGCTGGCCTTCCTCGCAGTACCTCGCCGCGCATCCCGACCTGCTAGAGTTTGCGAGGTTCAAGCGGGAGCTTCCGCATAGTCGGGGAGGGGACGAGTTCACGCCCTCTGAGGGTCTACACCCCGCTGTTTACTATACGGCTATCGCTCGCTTCCTCGCTTGGTACTCTGACCAGCCCATGTCCCGGACGCTGACCTCTCCTCATAGCCTGGACGTTAGGGATTTTATTCCTCCTGCATGCTCCTGCTGC